GGGGGGGGGGGGGGGCAAAAAAGAAACATTAAACGTCATGCAGCGGCGGTCAGAGAGTAAACAGTGTCGGGATTGTAATCTCTTCTTAGGAAGGAAAAAGGGGCTGTTGTGTCTTTAAGAGGGGCTGCTGCTGGTCCCTCATCGCAGCTGCCGGCGTGCGCGCGCGCGCCCGTGCGTGTGTGCGAGACACAGAGGACAGCGGAGATTCATTACTTAAGCAGCACAATGGACATTTGTCACCCCCGTGGCGTTATTCAAATTCAGTACCAAGCGCGGAGCTTCTCCAATCGTGTCGCGTCGCGTTGATGTGTCGGAGCTGCGCGGAGAGGCGCGCGTGCAGTCCGGCAGGAGGAAGGATGGGGAGGAGAGGAGCCTGGAGCTGCTCCTTTTAAATCGCCATCGCTCAGAGGGGGTTCATTTGGACGGAGAACGCACCGACGGGAACTTAAAAAAAGGACTTTCCTTCATTTTTTGGGTCTTTTTTTTTTTTTGGTTTTCTGCAGCAGCAGCCGCTCGACGCGCCTCCATTCACGCACGAGGGGATTTCTCATTAATTTAACAACCGTGGAGAGCCATTGTGGCGCTTTCAGGCACCAGAACTGAAGACTTTTCCTCCGTTAGATCGATGACAACATGCAGGTGCAGAAATGGCGTGCATGCTGCCGCTGCTGTTTTCTTCAGGGGAGGACTTGAAAAACCTGCACTGACTTTAAAACCAGAGGAAAAGGGGGGGAGGGGGGCAGGAAAGTCTAAATGTGGGAACATTTTCTTTCTTTAATGCTTTTAGACAAGAAATATGCTTTTAGAGAAGTTTAATACTGTTTAAAAAGTGTTGTTTTTTTAAGGATGGACTTTGTTAAAGAAAGACAGAAAGTGAGGAAATAATGCAACTTGTTATTAAAAAAAAAGTGGAAAAAGAAAACAGGTTCCTGCGTCAGGGGACGTGAAGGCAGCAGGTGCACGCGCCAAGACGCGTTCATTTCCCCTCCTCTTCCTCTCATCCCTGCAGAAGAGTCAACAGAGTCTTTTGCGACTGATTGTCCAAACGCAATTCTTGAGTAAAAACCCAACTCGAGCCCCGAGAATTGTGCGTGGACATCTGTTGCTGCAGACTCACACTCATCACTGCGGCCCAAACAACGGGCCCTGAGGGCCGCAGAGGGGCAGGAGGCCGTCAGTTTGTAGCCTGGCAGGTAAGATCCAGGAGGCCCAGTGTGCACGAGGAGCAGGGCTCAGGTGTGTTTCCTGTCCGAGATCCAATCAGGACCGTTTGTTTGTAAAAAGGCATAGATCGACTGCAGGCATCGATGAATCGACTGGATTGAGAGAAAAGTGCGTGTTGGGGGGTCGTGGTGTGCCGTGCACAGATGCAGACGCACGAGAGGAGCTGAACTCCCCCCCCCCCCCCCCCCCCCACAATGTGTAAAAGTGATGCTGCCATCACGATTTGAACTTCTTGCTCCATTTGTCTTTTTTCTTTATTAAAATATTACAAAATGTTTTTTTCTTTCTTTAAAAAGCCACTTTTTTAAAAAAAAGACTGACATATTTATAAATGTTTTAGTTGTTTGTCAATTTATGAGGGATTATTTCATTCTCAAAATGTTTTTATTCTGTTTTTGTTTAATTAATTCGAGTCACACGTACACGCACGCACGCACGCGCACACACCAGCCAAAGTGTGTATTATGGTAGAACATTAAAGGCTATATAACCCCTCCTAATTCCAGGGGATTAGTGTGTAATGTTTGTTCTTGCAGGAATTAGTCAGTGCCCAACACATTGCTGCGGAAAACCTCGTAATAATTTGAATTTTATTACAAAATATTTTAAACCTTTCAAAAAATAAATCAATATATAAAATTAGTTTTTATATGTTTTTTACTACAGCTATGGATAACAGAGGGGATTTATTTTAAAGATGCAAAATAACCATCAGGTTTTTAATATATATATATATATATATATATATATATATATATATATATATATAATTGAAACTATTCAGATATTTCTTTTTGAGAAACAGGACGAATAGTTCCTGCAGGTCCTTCAGTTTTTTTTTTGGTATGGATCCACCAAGGATTTAAAATAACAGCTCAAGGGTTTCATTGCATTTATTTTTTTTACTATAAAATTATTATTTAAAAGATTACCCACAAAGGAGGAAAAGTAATAAAAATGTCAAATAGCCTAATTTGTATTACGACGTCTTCATGATCCAAATAATGAATTTAAATATTAGTGCAAAAATGATTGTTTACCTCAGAGATGTTTACTGGTGTGAGGTGTGCATGTCATGTTATGATGCTCACATTCATCCACACTCTTTTAATAAGCTTCGACTGATGGATGGAGGCCCTGACTATGTGGAGCAGAGTTCACAGAAAATAATTAAAAAAACCCAGAATAAAAGCAAATCACAACTTCATCTTATATAGAAAATATTTTCATGTAAAACATTTTGACGAATCAAAAAAAAAGTTAAATAATAATGAAAATAATTCATTTTAAAACAGTTAACTTAAAAAAAAAATAATTTCCTCATGTAGTTTGGAAATGTCTCCGTCAGCTTACACACACACACACACACACACACATACACACACACACACACAGAGCCCCCCTCATTAGCATTTCCTTTCTCCTGGCCTTTATAGGCCGCTTTCTCATTGCAAATCGGACTCCAGAACCGAGAAAAGATTTTAGGTCGCCTCAGGCGTTCAGGGGAGGGCAGCCCGGAGGCTAGACCTCGACCTCCCAGTGGTCCTGTAAATCCAGCCCCCCACCACCACACACACACACACACACACAGCCTGCTCCCTCCACCTTTCCAAATCTGATGACTATTCCACCTGAGCGTGGCTACAGGACGGTAAAATCCCCCCAAAGCGTCTCCTAATCACCTTAAAACAGCTTCTTATCACAGAGCTGGACTTGAATCATCTCACAGAAGCTGGAAGTGAGAAATATTCAAACAGGATGACAAATATTTATTTTAATTTAAAAAAAAGGGTTTTGGAGAGCGCTTACTGTGCAGGATTCAAAGGGTCTGAGCAAAACATGTAAATATAATGAAACAGCTCATTAAAGATACATTCATAAGGTTATTTAAAGAATATGTCATCTTTTGTACAAAACTTATTTTATTCCTTAAATATATTCCTTCTTGCAATATATAAAATAAGAATGGGTCATTATTAAAATGATGCTTTTGGTATTTCAGTAGCGTAATTTAAGAAAAATGATCGAATCAACCACTAGAAACAAAATGTGCAGTTTTATATCAAATCAAACAATAAAATATATAAAAACCTAAATAAAATACACAAAGAAAATATAAAAACAATAAGGTTTTTGACACATTTGTATTAAAACAGAGAAACAAATAAAATGATCAGGGTTTAATGGAAATATTTGCAGCTGTAAAACAAAGTTTAATCACCCTTACAGTATTTTAACATGTTCTGTAAGAAAATGAACTAATGAAATGTAAACACTTATGAGGAAGGAAGATTGAAGTGTTTTCTTTTTTTCTTCAGGATGACATCCAACCTTCAGGGCTGGTGTGTTTGATCCAAAATAAATATATTTTCTTGGATCTCCATCTCTTTCCTGCTGAGCGTCATCAACTGTCGGACTGCGTCGACACCATCAGCGTCCAATGAGGAGGCTCGTTGTTGGGATGTGGCAGCACGCAGAGGGGGGGCTGTCGGTTCACAGCATGTGGAGAAAAGCCTCGAACGGTTCTAGTTTTATCCTCCGTGGAGCGTAGAAATAAACACGATGTTGTCGTTGTCGTGTAGCCGATAGCCCAGCTCCCCCTGCAGAAAAAACATTTATTATAAAGAAACGTTTATTATCAGGAGTGTGTTCCCGTTGAGCTCCAATCAGTGACAAACTGATCAGTTCATTTAAACATCCTGTTCAGTCTTGCAATCCAATCAGTTCAGTCCAATTGAAATATTCCAACTATATGTAGGACCCCCCCCCCCCCCCCCCCCCCCACACACAATAAAGGACAAATGAGCCTCAGACAGAAAACAAGTCAGCAGGTCGCCTTAAACAATCGTCTTTGTCTCCATTTAAACATGTGCAGTTTTAAATAAAAATATAAAATCATAAAGATTCAGCGAATATTATTTATGTCGACGAAACGTGGCTCGTCACCATCTGACGGTGAACATGCCTCCCAGTGCTCACCATGAGCTCCCAGTCAGCGTCGTTGATCAGCACCAGAATCCCGGGCCTCCTGTGGGAAAACACCAGTTTCAGGTAACTTGTGCGTGCATATGGCGTCTAAATCCATAAAAAAAATTAATTTCACACGATTTTTATCAAAATATACGGTTGACATGTTACAGAAGAAAACATTTTAAATACTTTCTTAGAAAAACAACTGATATTAGTGGAAATAACATGCAGAAAAATCAGAATCTTTTCAGCCTCTTTCTTTCGTCTTGTACATAAACATCACTTATTATTAAATTTAATAAAGAGAACTTGAAAAAAGATTCGATTGTTCAGTTTTCAACTCCTGAAATGAATATTTCCACGTATTTGAGCTTTGTGTAAATAATAAAAATGAGCTAAACATTTAAATTGTGTTCAAGTATTCATTTTAACATTTTGACAGATTTAGGTGTTCATGAAACAAGATAAAAATTTTAAAAGAAGGAAACGTCAGAAATGACAGGAGCCCAAAACATAAAAGAAAAGAGGTGAGCGGTGATAAAACAGGGTGAAATCTTTGAAACGGTTCGAGCATTTCTTCTAAAAAGAGGCGAGTTAAAGTCGCGTGCATGCAGATGTGATGCTGATGTTGCCCGCAGTGCATCCA